CTTGGCAGAGGGAGGTATCCTGACTAGATAAATTTCAAAAAAGAGTGTGTGTGTGTGTGTGTGTGTGTGTGTGTGTGTGTGTGTGTGTGTGTGTGTGTATTGATGGAGGGGCAGAGAACCCTCTGGAAGGTGGCTTCAGAGTGGAGGCAGTCACATGGGAGCTGGAACGGGAAAGTCAGAAGTAAAGAAAAGCCCACAAAAGTCCTCATTTGATATTTTTCTAAAACAGACACTGGGAACATAATAGGAGGCTCTCAGTTCTTGGTGCTGTCCTCTCTCAATCTGTCTCATGCCCTCCACCCACTGCCTATGTCTTCTGACGGGGCATAAATAAAGCACTGTAGACTCACATTTTTGTGCCTCATTATCTGCAAAGAAAAAAAAAAGGAAAGAAGAGTAAGAAAATAATCCTGGTTTACACTTCCATTTAAGATAAAAATATTCTAGCAGTTGTAAGTACCAACACCCCAAGACCTGTAAAACCTAGAGGTGAGGTCTGAATTAAGTCCCCGAAATATGCTCGTGCATAATCCAGATACTTCAAATTCAAAATACGGGCACATGTGCTCCCAAGCCAGAACTATAGACACTAGAGTGTTAGTCAAAGGACAGAAAACTCTTGGGCTGTTCTCCTCATTCAGCCAGAATCATCTTAGGGCTAGCTGTCACAGGGTCCTAGTGATAAAGACCTCCACGCATTTGAATGACTGACTCTTGGCCTATATATTTCACATGATTTTTCTCTTTTTGTTTTGAGACAAGTCTTGTGCAGTCAAGGCTGGCCACATAATTTGTTATGAAGTTGAGGGTGATCTTCAACTTCTGATCCTCCTGCCTCTAACTCCTGAGCTCTGGGATTCTAGGTACACACCGCCATGGACTGTTAATGTGGTGCTGGGGATTGAATCCAGGGCTTGGTGCATGCCAGGCAGGCACTCTGCCAACTAAGCCACATCCTCAGCCTCTGATGTTCTCCCTTAAAGCTAATGGAGCTGCTTGTAATCAAGATCAAATGTCCTACTCAACACACTTTCCTCCGTATCGCCTCTGAGTGACCCAAGACTCTCTGCACACATTAAGAGGATGCTGGCTCTTTCTGTAAGGAGTGACTTGGCTTTAGATTATCTCTGAGTATAAGGATAAGGAACTCTCTGTTGTTTGGTTGGAGGGAGGAGCCACAGCTGGGGGTGACAGAAATCCGCTCATAAAACCCACACTCCCTATAACAGACATCGTTGCCCTAAGAGGTGGGCTGGTGGCCCTTCTTGAAGACTTGTGGCTGCATTCTGGATGCTACTGGGATATGCCAGAGCCCTGACAGGACAGAATCTGAGCTGGAAGGGAGAAAATGGTGGTGGCTAGTGCTGAGACACAGGTGTCCCCGGGGAAAGACACAGATGACCAGGCTGTATGAGCAGGAACAAGTCCTTAACTTCTCCGAGCCCCAGTGTTCCTCTTTCTTAAAAGTCTTTATTATTTAAGACGAAGCCTTGCTAGGTCACCTGGTCTGGCCTCACACTTCCAACCTTCCTGCCTCAGTTTCTTGAGTGCTGGGATTACAGGCATGCACCAGGGCTCCCAGACTCAAGCCTCTTCATCAGGGAAATGGAGATAAAATGGCCACTTCAGAGGGTATTTGAAAGAATCAAAAGGATCCTGAAGGTAAAAGTGGATGCACATAGCAGATGCTTGTGAAAGATGCTGCCTTCTTCCCGCCCTTTCTTCCTGCGATCCTGCTACCATAGAAAACCGCTGAGCTCTGACCCAGCTGCTCACCAGACATCTGGCTGGGACTTCATGTGACCTGCTCCCCAGGCAGCAGCCGGGAGCTGAGTATAATCGTAACAGAGGGCTGCTTTGACTTAATAATTTTTTTACCGTTGATGTCTCCTAGAAAGTTTATGTGAATCAGAAATCATAAATAAGATAAACTAAAAGTAAACAGACATTATACTGTGTTTAGGAGGTTTGTCTGAAAACATGTAAAAAATTGCTTACAACATTATTGGTCTGAATTCAACATCAGAATGTTGATTTACAGGGGCTGGATGTCCATGTTTAGAGACAGATGTGTTCACGAAGAGTTTGTACACATCCATTCTTACACATATCCATGGCATTTCACAATGGTTAAGAAATTGAGTTTCCTATAAATTGTTTATCCCTCATTGATTAGACTGTTTGTTTCTAAGCCTTTCTCCCCCAATTCAGGTCAACAGCTAGAACATATATGCTCAACAAACTTTAACATTTATTCTTCTATTCAAGTACTGGCCAGGTCTGTCTGTGTCTACTTTCCAAGATATATATCTCCCCAACCTCTCTCTCCCTGAGGCAGGGTCTCACTATGTATGTAGCCTTGGCTGACCTGAAACTTGCTATGTAGACCAGGCTGGCTTCCAACTCACAGAGCTCCATCTGCCTCTGCCTCCAGAGTGCTGGGATTAAAGGTGCGTGCCACCATACTCATTTAATCCCTTTTAAAAAGATTTAAAAGAAACTCTATGTGTATGTTTGCTTGTTAGTATGCACATATACGTGTGGGTGCTCACAGAGGCCAGAAGAGAAGGCCGGATTCCCTGGAACTGGGTGCTGGGAACTGAACTTTGGTTCTCTGAAAGAACAGCAAGTGGTCTTAACTGCCGAGCCATGGCTCTACCTCCACCCCAAACCTTCCACGTTTACTCTCTAAAAACAATGAGTTTCTATGGAACAGCTAGCTAAATGCCACCTACTGGCTTCTGACGGGCAGGTACTGTTGTGAGCGTCTTAAATGAATCAATCATGAAGTCTACACATCACCGCTACAGGTTGTTTCCATTTTACACACACTGATCACATAGCAGAGGTATTAAGAAGTTATCCATTAACACCCAACTAGGGAACTGAATCAGGATTTAAACAAGTCTCAGGGTTAGATTTTGTCTCCTCTGCCTCAAGCATCCTCTGTGCTAAAGTACAAGTGAAACCCTTTGAAAACTCAGCTCAGGAACCAGCCCCCCAGCCTTCCTCAGCTACACTTTGCGGAGTTTGCCATTCTTTTCATGCTTCATGTTTTCTTTGCACACACCCATCGCATGCAGTACACTGTAGCATCAGCTATTTGAGTCTCTTAAAGACAACTGGCTTCTTGAGGACAAAGAACTAGCAAAACATTAACATTCTGTTCATCTATTCACTCAAACACACTTCATTGAGCACCCACTATGGGCCAGGCACCAAGGACAGGTAAATGAAATTCTGCTTCGGCCTTCAAGGAACTTACGGCTCACACAAAAAACAATGGAGGGTCCCACAACCACCTGTGCGCCTTTCCCGAGCCCAGGGAAGCATCCCTGCATAGCTCTAAGCAGACATGGAAGCTAGTAGCCACATCTCAGACAGATGACCCCAGTCTCCCTGTACTAGTTCCGGTTCCCATTGTTACTACGACTCCCATGGCGTCATCTGATCAGTTTGTTCAACCTCTGAGAAGAGGCTGTGTAGAGTGAATCCTCTTACCAGAGTTCTCGGGATCTGAAAAGGAAGCAATAAGAGCTGTTAGTTATAGTCTTAGCGACTAAGATCCAGCCTGCTCCCATGGGTGAGGACCCTCCCCTCAGTCTTAAGAGCACAACCGGACTTGAAGTTTCTTTGGCTGTGTATGACAAGCTGTTTGAGTCTTACATTCTGCATTCTGTATCTGTTGGCTGTGCACGAAACGGCTGCCATGGACACTGGCTATACACTGAAGGGTATGGAGCCTGGCACAGTTGTTGCTTTTGAATACAGTGTTGCTTCTCTCAGTTTGGAGGCGCTGACTAAACAGCATTGGGACAGTCTTGACTCAACTGCTCTGAGAAAGTAAAGTTCCCGCTAGTGCACACATAGACACCCCCATTCAGACTATCCAAGCCCATGATTAGGAATGTGCACCCAAATGCCACTCCAAAACTTAACCAGGGTCACCCTATACATGCATTCTGGCCAACCTCTCCCAACCCCATATCAAATAGGAAAAGCAGAAAAATGAAAACCATTGGTACTTTTAACTTTTTGTGTATGTGTGTATGTTAGTGTTCTTGTGTGTGTGTGTGTGTGTGTGTGTGTGTGTGTGTGTGTGTGTGTGTGTGTGTGTGTGTGTGTGTGTGTGTGTGTGTGTGTCTAGAGGCAGACATTGGGTGCCTTCTGCCATAGCTCTCCATCTCATTGCTTTTGAGACAAGGTGTCTCACTGAACCTGGAGCTTGATGACTTGGCTAGGCTGACTGGACAATAAACCCCAGGGGTCCTCCTGTCTCTGCCTTCCCAGGGCTTGGACTGTGCTTAGCTTTTTGTTTGTTTGTTTGTTTGTTTGTCGAGACAAGGTTTCTCTGTGTAGTTTTGGTGCCTGTCCTGGATCTCGCTCTGTACACCAGGCTGGCCTCGAACTCACAGAGATCCGCCTGTCTCTGCCTCCCGAGTGCTGGGATTAAAGGCGTGCGCCACCACCGCCCAGCATGCTTGGCTTTTTAATGTGTGTTTTGGGACTCTAACTCAGGTCCTCATTCTTGTCAGGCAAACATTTTACCAACTGAGTCACCTTCCCAGCTCTACTGTAAACTGTTCAACTGTTTTAAGTTGTTCATCATTTTCTGCAGTCTTTGTTCCCTAAACTGGGGTACATCTATGAGGCAAGGGAGGAGAAAAATCTCTTTCGCTGTTGCCCGCGGTTTGTCTATGGGAAGGAAGCCTTGAGAAAATTGCACTCTGAACACAGCTAATTCTGAGAAATGCATTCCTAAGTGACTTGGTCACTGAATGAATGTCATAGCACACATGTACACAAACCAGGACAGCAGAGACCACTCCTCAACGAGGCTATAGTGTAGCATGTTGTGATCATTGTTCACCTAGACTATATACTGTAGAGTGTTGTGATCACTGTTCACCTAGACTATATACTGTAGAGTGTTGTGATCACTGTTCACCTAGACTATA